TTGGGCTTGAGACAACATGGTGGTCAATGTCGAAAAGAGAACCAATACAAAGAAAATTGTACGAGCCCAATATTTTTGAAATTGTAAGGGTAGAGAATACTAAGTATACAGACAACGACTGACAGGGAGCTACAGGCTATCATTTCAAGGAGATTTGTCTTTCTAATTTTCCTTCAAGATTCATCGAACCAAGACCCAATCGTAAGATTCTAGTGATACGATTCTAGATTTAGCGATTTAGCTGACCGAATTGTTCGGCCGAAACTCTTCGAGGCATTGGGATTCAGGCTAATGGGCAAGACACTAAAATATGACTTTGACTTTGAAGGATGTCTAGAAATATTATTTCTTGGACTTGTAGGATTTAGCTCCTGTAGGTGATAGGCCAAGGAGGTGATAAGCCTGGTAGGTGGGTATAGGTATACGCGTAGCAGGAGCTCGCTAAGGATACATACCACATATGTACGGTACCTAAGGTTAGGTACCTAGGTATAGGTATTAGCCGCCTCGCCGGGTTTATAACCCAGTATTGACCCATCCCCGGAAGCCTCTATCACAAATAATAAGTAAGCAGATTTGCCTAGAACCCTCAGCAGAGAGGTTTAACTTACCTAGGTACCCATGATATTAGTCAGAACTAGAGCAGTGAAATCAACTTGCTACACCACTACAACAATAGCATACCTTAGGTATATTACAAAAGTCCCGATATCTCCACGTATTTCCGTGATAAGATAAAAACAGGGAACCAAGTTAAAATCAACATGCGACACTACCCAGGTGCACATCAATCCTAGCGCTTCGTATGAGGTACGACCAACAATTTGGTAAAGAGGCTTTTCTTTGACGATCTTATCATCCTCCGCGCCCTGCCTTACTAAGTGCCTAGTACGCGGTTCCTGCTATAAATCCTCCGATTTCTGTGCCTGTTTCTTGCCTCCGTCGTAACCGGCCCGGGTGCCTTGTAAATTTACACAACAACGTCGAAAGGATCAATCTTCTAAGGTTCCAAGGTTGGCAATCGTGCACCTTTGTAGCACTAGATCTATAACACCCCACTCAGCTGGTACTGGTGCATACATACATATGTACATGTACGACGGATGTAGGATGTACGTACATCTTACGTAGGACATGCGCATAGTATACCGATGTTAATCTGGTCATGTATTTTATAAGCATGTATTAGGTGCATTTAATGCAGGCTCCTCTCCAGCCAATTCCGACTATAGGAATAGGGTGGACCCTTTCCTTGGGCAGGCTGCGTTCTGGAACGCGCCACGAACGCACTTTCCAGGCAGCACGGGTCCTAAACGTTCTAAACGTTCTGATAGATTCCGCCAAGGAACCAATCCTCAGGTAGGACCAACCTACCTGACAACCTGCATACACGTTGCAGGCTGCAGAGGTACATAGGTAAGCAGGCATATTTGTGCTAGCTGAACGTTGTGTGGAGTAAGCACCTTATTGGATCAAATGTCCTAGCTGAATTTAAGATGGGGCTAGCGCGTAATGCGGCTCCTCCAGAGTCCAGACCCCTGTCAAGCCTACCTGTACCTTGCCGGTGGCCCCAGCTTGCTAGCGCGAGCTTGGCATAACCTTGAACAGTGGGGTGGGTATGATGAGTCGGTCTGTTCCCACGTGTATTCGCATATGCAAGGAGCACGCGGGGGTGGGGGCAGTGTTACAGTAGCATTAAATGAGTAATCAATCATATCGGGGACAATGGGTGTGGATAGGCTATAGGCAGGCTATAGCCACGAAGGAATAAAGCGAAATGATAACTTAGTAAGCTGACGTAGAAGGGAATACCTAGCTCGATGGAAGATCCCGAGACGAATCTATCCGGCAGTCGTAAGGGAAAGCCATTCTAGACTGGTACTTGAAAGATGGATGCACTGAACGGGGGTTTATATAGTTGCGTTTATCGGGATGATCGTCATACCGGGATAAGATGTAAGTCCCATTGCAACGCAAGTAATATTGGATACTATCTTGAACGTCCCAAGAAATATAGAGTATGAGGTCATGGTTTTCAGCCAGATAAAGCTTAATAGATCAGATGCATGGCCGGTAAAGATCGTCCTGTGTTTAATCCAATCGGACTTTTTATCTCTGTAGTATTGAGGTTGAGGTGCAGTCTACTCGCATTGACCTACCTAACCTAGATAGTTTGATGTGAGACTCAATACTACATTAGAAATAATAAGCAATAAAGGGGAAAGAGAAGGGAACAATTAAAGAAAATATTGTGAATAAAAAGATATCATTGTCGCATCTCTTTACTATCTAACTTGTAACTCTAGAGAGTCCAAGTCTAATCTAGATTCTAGATTCTAGATACTGGGTAATATACAATCAAAAGTGGCTAAGTTCTATATCGACATTGCTTAGCGATAGTTGGAGATCCGAATCAGACATTCCTATGATTGATGACCAGTTCATGTCCTCGCTCATCAAATCGATGTCTGTGTGCGACATCTGAAATTTTGCGATCATCGGACCGCTGCTTGCTGTTATAACGTGCGACATCGACGACGAGGACGGGGTATCTAATATGTCGTCCTCCGGCGTGCCGCACTCTCCTATCCGTCCCAGAAGCCTGCCCAGTGTTTTTGCCCCCGCTTCTGCCATCGCGTTGAGGTCGGCTAGCATCTGTAACCTCTCGTGTGCTTCTCGTATAGCTTCCACGCACCGAGCCTGACTAATATCCATAGACCTCGTCGCTAGGGGATCAACTAAGCGGAAGAAAGCTGGGAACCCCGAGCTGTCATCGTCGAGGCCTATTTGCGTGGGCTCCCCATCGTCACCGTAGTCGGACCCGCCAACTAAGCAGAGACAAGAGAGGAGCACCGCCGCCTCAAAAGTGTGAAATATTATGTCGAATAGGCGTGTATGAGTGGCGCCTAACAATCTATGAAGTGTTGTAATAGCCTCCAGCATATTTAGTGCTGCCCGTGCTAAACTTCTCCTTTGGTGTTGGAGAATGGCCTGCTTATACCTTGGAAGAGCAGAGATCTGGTCAGGCTCTAGCCGAAGCAGCGGCTTGAAATTATTGCAGACGGAATTATATATGGCAACGTGAAATAGTTGTCGCTGCCGCGCTAGATTAGGAACGCCGAGGTCCCATTCTTTATTCGGGTCCAAGCCAAACGGAGCGGGAATATTCGTGATAAACTCGGCGCAGAATCTTTCGTAACGCTCCTCTGCAGCGCTGGGATCGTAAGATACCGAAGTGTTACGACTGCCGATGAAGCTGTTCCAGAACCGGGCTAATCGAGCTTGTAGAATCCGTTCCATGAACGCCTCCGGAGCGCCACTCTTTTCAAGATCTGCGATTTGGTGTACCTTTGGTAAGCTCGTGGTACAAAATCCGTCAGAAAGGAACGGAAGGCGTTCGAGGGAGCTAGATAGACGTCTTTGAATCAATAGTTAGCAATGCTTAATCTTTGTACAGATATTAGAGAATAAGATATGTATTAGGTACTTACGCATCCCAAATATAAAGATTGCAAAATATCCGCCGCCTCATCTCGCGCTCGAATTCATCCATCCCTTGCGATGCAGCGCCCGTAGGTTCTCTATGAATCCCTATCATCTGCGCTACCCCAATAGCCGAACCGAACGTCGCCCACGAGAGCTTTATATTGCCTTCGCACTGCTGGTTGAGCGCGGCGAAACAAAGATGTTGCACCCGGATTAGAGAACCCGTCGTGTCTGCTTGTGCACATATCTTCTCTAGTACTTGGGCCGTCCGGGTGCATTGGTATCGTATCTCAGTTAAAGAGACTCCACGAATCATATCGGCTGTGTGGGCTGGCGAGGGGAGGAATTGCGAACAGTATGCGCTGATACGCAAGACGAGAACGGCAAACTCGACATCTACTAGACGAGTTACAGGTCTCCTTGTCCACCAATCTTCATACTCGGCCAAGAAACTTGGCGGATGCACGAGCTGATTCATCCAGTTGACCTCATGGATGAAATATTGAAGAAGAAAGTCCAAAATCGGCCTCGCTGGTATCTTTCCCATCTCATGTTGGGCAGCATCCAAGATTTCTCCAGGCAAGTTTGTATAATTCGATTGCCATGGTCTTGTCTCTTCTACTTTCAACTACTTCTTGTTAGGTTGCTGACTTAGAATAAGAATATTCTCTTTATAAAAATAAAAAAAAGAAGTGAAAATAAAATAAAGATAAAGAATACGGGTTAATACTTACTTGTCGTAATAATCCAAGCGTATTAGAGTCACTGTCATCGAAATATCCAAAGAGATCTGCTAGAGAAGCTTGTTTGTTGCTCTCGAATCTCTCCCTCTCTGACATGGCTGCCAACTGCTGGTTTGACTCTACCGGTAGTGCTTCCAACAATCTCTGGTTGGACGACGCCATGCCATCTTGTCCTGCATTCGAACCTACGCTTTGTCTCGAGGGACTTAGGCGAGGGTTGGAGATGTAAGTGCATTCTTCTGGTCGACGACGCCGAGTGCAGTGGTTGCAAGGATATTGTCGGTTACACTACTCTAATTAATATCTGGTTACATGTATAAGAAAGACTACGGGATAGTTATTAGGTACCTTTTGCTTTTTCGAATAGCACGGAATGCAGGACGAAACGACACGCTGTTTACGCTTTGGTGTTGGTATCATCATGATAGAGTATTAAAGATCGTTAAAGATCGAGATCGGTGGTTTAGAAATGATCGGCGTAAACTACATAAGAAGGACCATAAGTCGAATCTTGAATATGAGATTGGCATTACAAGCTATAAAAAACGTGCGCATGCTCGAACCCCCCCCTTTCGATGCGATGCCCTTATATTCATATTAGTATTCATATTAACTTAGAAGTACAAGTATGTTATCGAGGAATCCTACGGAAATAATGAGCCACACAGTTTACTAAGGCTATCGTTGATCAGCCTCTTCGTTTCAGTTGGCCGGTTATTTTTAAGGAACTAATGCCGTCATGCGGCACCTGAATATTTGTCAGATACTAGCGCTTAAAGAGGTCGAGCCAATAGTAGAGAAGCGTCGATATTCGACAAATGTATAATTCCTTTACATTTTCATACGCGCTTATGTTCATTCCCAAGTCATTTAAGCTCCCCCCCTCTCCCTTTCTCCAATCTTACCTTGCATAGTCCCTTAACTCCAAGAAGCTCTCCCCCCCCTCACGAACAAAGTCCTAGTATAACTTTACGAGACGTCCCATAGCTTAGCTTGATAACGTACGATATATTTCTTAGTAGCTTCGTCAAGTTTACAATCATGGGCACCTTTCCTGGATTTCTGTATCGACAAGTTACCTTCAAGCCTAAGCCGCTGCCTAAGAGCCTAAACCTCAGCGGCAAGACGGCTCTGGTTACGGGTGGAAATGCCGGTCTCGGTTTCGAGGCTGCCAAAGAGTTGACTTCTCACGGACTGTCTCGAATCATCCTGGGAGTGCGCAGCGTAGCCAAGGGCGAAGAAGCAAAGAAGACTCTTCTCACGCTGAACCCCCAGATCGACGTCCAAGTATGGGCGATCGACCAGGAGTCTTTCGAGAGCATCAAGAACTTCGCCGACCAGGCGGCGAGTCTCGACAGGCTAGACATCGCCATCCTCAACGCCGGTGTTAAGAGCATGGAGTACGTCAAGTCGAAAACGGGCCATGAGTTAAATGTCCAGGTATGGAACAATCCGAACACTCAGACGATCGCGCGCATCTAATCGGGATTTTGTAACAGGTTAACCACTTAGGCACTGCTCTCCTCTCCCTTCTCATCCTCGGACCTCTCAAGAGGACAGCCGCGGCAACGGGTTCGCCGTCGCGCCTGACAATCGTCAGCTCGGAGAACCACTTCTGGGTGAAGCTCAAGGAGATTAAAGGTCCCGACACGCTAGCGACCATGGACAAGCCGGAGACTTTCGGAAAGGGCATGGATCGCTACAACGCAACCAAGCTACTAAATGTGCTATGGATGCGCGAGCTGAGCGCCAAGGCTGCGGGTTCCAACGTTATCATCGATGCCGTGAACCCCGGCTTCTGCCAGAGCACCCTGCACCGCACGGATTCTAGCGGATCTTCTTTTGCCAACTTGATCGGCTGGACTGCCGCGCAGGGCGGACACTGCCTGACTGACGCCGCGACGCAGCACGAGGAAGACGGCAACGGCGCGTACATGAGCGAACAGAGCGTTAAGAGGTAAGAAGCCCAACTGTATTCACAAGATGATAGATGCTAACCAAATATACTTATTAGTCCTTCTCCTTTCGTGCTCTCGCCGGCCGGACGAAGCGCGCAAACCAAGATCTGGAACGAGACCATCCAACTTCTCAAGGACGAAGCGCCCGGCGTCGACCTACTTGCGAACCTCCAGTCTTGAGGCCACACAGTTTTGTACCATGATCAAAATCGCATATTGTTCGTATTATTAGCAAGCGCGGCTGGTAGCCGGGAGGAGTATCTGGACAAAATTGTTTCAAGTCTAGTAGTTTAGCTTTCTGTACCCGATTATTACCCATATAGATTCACCAATACCATTGAATATTTGTCGAGACTGTCAAAGCTCTATGTGTGTTTTCTGTTTTCAAGTGTCATGTTATGCAAAGGTGTAGTGTTTATTCCTAGTCAAAATTGGTGTGGGGGTATTGAAAATTGAAAATTGAAAGTCCTAGACTAAATAGACTAAGGTATACTTGGTACTTGGAGACCCTTTTCATTTAGCCAATTGGTCAGAACTTAGAGTTTATTTTCTGACGTCAACTATAAGGTCTTACAATCTTTATGCAGTCACTATTAAGTCTTGAATATTGAATAGGTATAATCCAAAAAGAAACTAGCTTTCAAGGTTTCTAATGTGTTTGATCAAAGAACTGATTTTTGAATTGATACTATCGTTGAATTATTACAGTCTCGGAAATGGATATTCGGCACGGCAAAGACGTTGAGTGATTACGTACGTTCGTCAGGTACATAGCTTGGGTATTATGTAAAGCCCTGTCTCAGATCTTACGGGTTCTGGCCTCATATCAATCAATCGGCACCCAAACTTGGCATCCGAATGGTTGCCTCGATCTTACCCTGCTATTTAGCGTAACTGCCAGGGGGGTAAAAGTACATGACATATCGCTTAGATAAGATATATATACCTAGGTACATTTACGAATATTGCGGGGAGATGCAACATTAAGCCACTGGGCTACCTGTTAGAATTCTGAGTGGCTAAGATAAGGGCATAAGCGGAACTGGACTTTTGCCGAACGAACACCCTTGCCGTATGCAGGGCATGGGTCACAAATCATTTAGGTTGTGAAACCACAAACTCGGGGGCCGTTGTAAGACGCATAATTTTACTGCTAACTTGCTTAATATTTGTGCAGTCCTGAAGCAACACCTTGAAGTTATTTGTGAGGAGATGAGAAAATGAAGAAATGAGGAAATTGCAAGACCAAGCCTACTACATATAGGTAGGTATTAGGTTATGTACCTAAGGTTAGGTACTTATTACCTAAGGTATTAACTGAAGGTGTTTAAGATCAGCAACTAAAACTGTGCTGAGGGTCGTTAGACGACTTCTTACAATAGCAACAACATCTTATTCGTCGTGCAACCATTTTACAGCCCACTCACCATCAACGCTGCCAATTTCGTCTTTCGTTAGGACCCCGAATTCTTTTCAGCACATAACTTGGCGCCAATAACCGAAATCGTACCATTTCTAGCTGCCTTAGCTTTTTGATAATCTACAGTGGCGTATCTGGCGCTTTAGGGTCGCTAACACGTTGCGACCATCCCAGTTATGAGTGCACCAACAGCTTTGCCGCCAGCGGGCCGAGCCAAGGCGATCGAGATGCACCCATTTCACCCCCCTTACACCGACACCTTGTTTCTCAAGCTCCCTCCACGGAAAGCTCATTTGAAGTTTTATTGTTTGGTGATAAGTCACTTAAGCACCGGGAGTAATAGCCTGGTTACTCCCGGCCGCTGCTTTGCTAAGTCTAGCAGTGCATATACTGGGGTTTCTGTGTGAGATTCCATCATTGGGTGTGCCAAATCAAATAGAACAACGGGCATGCACTGTTATTCTCGCAGGGTGAAGTCGTTGCCATCGCAGTCTCATCGCGAACGACGCCGGACTATGGTATCAGGTAGGATGACAATCATACAATATCCCGCGTATCTTTATCTGTAGCTACTTGTCCCTTTCTTGGAAGATGCAACAGGTCGTCATACGCGGGATATAAGCATACAGCAGCAGCCTTATTGGCGTACAGGCTAGTAGTTCACCCACCTTGAGGCCTTCCATGACGATAATGAAGTCAATATCATAACTTGACGATACCAAGGTAAACATCCGTGGCAATATTCAATTTGAGTTTATTTCCTTTGCGACTATGCTGGCGTTAATATCTTCTCCTTTTTAACCGATTTTGAGGCTAACATATTATTCCTGTGATTATGTTAGCACTACCTCCTAGGGAGTAGGGAGGTAATGTTTTCATTTTTCTGTGACGATATTGAAGTTATTATGTTATCCTCCTGTAACGATACTGAAATCAATCTCTCATTCTTCCGAAAAGATGTTGTAATCAAAATAAGAGGTTAGACGAGCTCGTGTCTGTTACTGATAAGGAACCCATGTAAGTGCTAGCGATCCTCCAGACATGAAGGCAAGATGCCGTGAGACACCTAATAAAGCTGACAAGCTGGGGTCGACTGTGGGGTTTGAGGCACAGATAACTGCGCCGGCGGTAATGATCGCGGTCCGCGATGAACATGAGCTGCTAAGTTCGGAGATATTGATGGTTTCCGCAGTGTTGTTCGGGGTGGCCTGTCATTCCCCATCAACTTCAGGTTTCGAAGGAATGATTAACAATTGGACCCGAGTCCAAGCGGATATCGTAAACAAGAGTTAGGATTTAATGAGTAATCAGATGGACGACTCCTCGACCCGGGGCAAGGGGTATGGCAGGGGAGATATCTCAGTGAGAAAATACTGCTTATCTCCCTTGCAAGCTAGCAAAAATAGGATTGCCTATAGCTTCTAGAAACCTTCGCGACGCAAGGCGAGTAGAGTGACGACCCGTCGGGAATGGTTGATGGATTGGAGCTGAAGGCGGATGCGAGAGGCGCAGCATTCGGCAACGAAGCGTCTTACTAACTCTGGCCAGAATCTTACAATCTTCGGCCGACTTTCATCGGCTTGAGTATATCGAAGGAATACAGAGGCTTAGGACTACAGAAGTCAGATCCTAGATAGGAGAATTATGTCAGCAAAGCGATATCGTCTCGACTTCAAGATGAACTACTAATATCATGGCCTCCGCGACTCGAGATGAGGTTGATTAGATTCTTTAGACAAACAAAACACAGCATCACTTGGGTATTTGGGATAGATTTCGCCGCGTCTTTTTTTCAACTTTTAGATTATCATTAGCTCTTCATTGTTCAACACACCACAAAATCAGCCAGCCATGTCTTCTAAGTCGACTAACAACGGGGCACCTGAAATGCAGAATGACTTCAGCGGTCATAACCCAGAGCCGATCGCCATCGTCGGCATGGGTGAGTACAACTTCAAAGCTTTATTAACGGCGTTGCTGACGAAGTATACTAGGTTGCCGATGGCCGGGAGACATCCAAGATGCCTCGGGCTTGTGGGAGCTTTTGAAAAACAAGCAGACCGGCTACCGAGAATTTGGCGATCACCGCTTCCCCCTTAGCGGTTTCCACCATCCCAACCCCGATCGCCCGGGGAGCATAGCAACTCGCGGAGGATTCTTGCTGGCGGAGGATCCCCGCCTGTTCGACCCATCCTTCTTTGGCATGACACCCTTGGAAGTAGAAACGAGTAAGTGACATGAGCCTTCGGAAAGGGGTTAAGAACCCGAGAAGCCATAAGAGAATTGTCGCTGACTGAATATTACAGTGGACCCCTCTCAGAGGAAGCTCCTCGAAGTTGTATACGAGGCCTTCGAAAACGCCGGAGAGCCATGGGAGAGCTTCTCCGGATCGCGCACCGGCGTCTTCGTCGGCAACTTCAGCACTGATCACACCCTCATTGCGGGACGAGACCCTGACCACCCTCGGCCTTACGCTAGCACCGGAAGCTCTATCAGCATTCTTAGCAACCGCGTCAACTACATTCTCAACCTTCTAGGTCCCAGGTAAGACTCCCTACTAATTGTTCCGCGCGGTATCACATGCTGAGACGTGACTTTTCTAGTGTTACTCTTGACACCGCTTGCTCATCTTCCATGTATGCGCTCCACCTTGCCGTCACGGCTATCAGGAGCGGCGACTGCGATTCGGCCATCGTAGCCGCTTCCAACTGCATCATGGACCCGAGCGCGCAGCTCATGATGACAAAGCTCGGTGTCTTGTCAGCGACATCTACTTGCCACACCTTTGACGCCTCGGCGGACGGCTACGCTCGTGGTGAGGGTTTCGCCGCACTTTACCTGAAAAAGGTATCGGACGCGGTCAAGGGCGAGTTCCCCATCCGTGCCGTAGTCAGGGGTACTGCTATCAACGCCAACGGTCGTACCGCTGGTATTACCCATCCCAGCAACGTGGGTCAGGAAGCTGTCATCCGCCAAGCGTACCAGAACGCCGGAAACCTTCCTCTAGGCGACACAACCTATTTCGAATGCCACGGCACCGGAACGCCTGTCGGTGACCCGATCGAAGTCTCTACTATCAGCGACGTTTTCTCTTCCGAGAAGTCGGCAGACGACCCGCTGTATCTTGGTTCCATCAAGACCAACTTGGGCCACACTGAATCCGCGAGCGCCATCGCCGGAATCATGAAGGTCGTACTCGCGTTAGAGCACGGTGTCATCCCGCCTAGCGTTGGTGTCAATAAGCTCAACCCCAAGATTGATCTCGAAAAGGCCAAGGCCGTTGTGCTGCGGGAGATGACCCCGTGGCCCGCTGGCAAGATCCGCCGCGCTAGCATCAACTCCTTCGGATACGGAGGCGCTAACGGCCACTGCATCATTGATCATGTCAACAATGTCATCCCCAACTACGTCAAGCCTGGTGTGTATGCGGCACCTCAAAAGGCCCTGGCCGATGTGGTCGAGATTGACGGCCCCCTCGAGACCGTCTCGGTGCCACCGCATTATCCCCTCGCGGCCGAAGTTAAGTCGGTACGGAAGGCTGACGCCACCACCCGCGACTTGGTGGTGCTCCCATTCTCAGCCCACAACGAAGCGTCTCTCAAGCTTAACGTCGCTACCTTGGCCGACACTATTGACACTCACCCTTTGGCAGATGTCGCGTACACTCTCTCAACCAAGCGCACTAAGCTGATGCAGCGAACTTTCAGCATCGTCAACAAGGATGGCCCGGGGCAGTCTCTTAAGGAGAGCCTTGACAAGCTCGCAGTCATCTCGAGTTCTGCCAAGACTGCAAAGCTCGGCTTCGTCTTCACGGGTCAGGGTGCTCAGTGGCCCGCTATGGGACGTGAACTGCGCCAATATGCCGTATTCAGGAAGTCAATCGAGTACATGGACTACGTTCTCAGTGCGCTCCCGGAGAAGCCCTCGTGGAAGATCGAGGACATCATTACCGGTAACTGCGAGCCTGACCGCATCCAGCATCCCGAGATCTCCCAGACTGTCTGCACTGCGGTGCAGGTTGCATTGCTAGATCTACTATCCTCTTGGAATGTGCACCCCTCCGGTGTTGTCGGTCACTCTTCAGGCGAGATGG